GACCTCTAGATGTGGCATAATGAGCGTAGCAAAAATCTTGGGGAAAGACTCTAGTGTGAATTTCCCCAGAAGTCGGCTTAGTTGGTTGAGTTTGAACATTGCCCTCCGGGCCAGTGTGTTGCAGTTAGTTTGCTGGGACAGATCATCGATAACAATTGTGCCTAGGTCCCTTTCGTGCCTGATCCTCTGCAATGTTCTACCACCCAACAAGTAATCGTTTGTACAATGCCCTGCAATATGCATAACCTTGCATTTGTCAACCCATTTGCGACTGACCAGGTAAAAAGCCCGTCTAGGTCCTCTTGCAGGGTGCACTTATCTAACGGGCTTCGAATCTCCCGGTAGATCTTAACGTCTTCTGCATACATCAGTAGTTTTGATTGTATGCCTACGGGGTGATCGTTCACAAATATTGTGAACAGTCTGGGGCCTAGGATAGAGTCCTGGGGTACCCCACTGGGTATTCCAAACCTATCCGAGAGAACGTCGTCCACTCGAACCTGAAAGGTTCGATCACACAGATAGTCTAATACCCAAGCTATCAGGGCTTCGGGGAATCCCAAGTTGGCCAGCTTATCTACTAGAAGAGAGTGATAAACTCTATCAAAGGCCCTGAAAATATCTAGCATGACTACGTCCAGTTGCATCCCCCCCCCCCACCTGTACGCATCACATGTATACCACTCCATGGTATCAATGAGGTTGTTTGGCAAGATCGCTTCCCACGAAACCCGTGCTGGGTATTGTTCCAGTAACGATCTCGCTCGACAAACTCACTGATTTTGTCGTCAATGGGACCCTCCATTACCTTTGAGACCACCGAGAGCAGGGCTACCGGACGGTAATTGTTTGGTAAGGTTCGGTCCCCTGACTTGAATATAGGAGAGACCACACATGTCTTCCACTCGACCGGGACCACGCCTACTCTCATAGAATGGTTGAACAGTCTGCTTAGGGGTGGTGCTAACTGCTCTGCGCACTGCTGCAGTAGGATGGGTGGTATCTCGTCAAGCCCCAGTGACTTTTTAGCTGCGAGACTTACGAGTTTTAGTCCAACCTGCGCCGGGGAAAATGACACAGGTTCCATGAACCTGTTGGATATGGGGTCTTCTACGAGACGACCGCTTCCGTCTGTCTGACTTACCTGTTCTGGGCTGAGTACCATGGATAGCTGCACCCTTGGTACCGTCCACAAGGGACCCATGTGCACGATGGATGTCTACGATCCCAGGTTTGGCCTGAGATGGAGATGTCCCTATAGAAACTCCTTGGGTCAGCAATGACCCGGTTTAGGAACTGTGTTTGGTACTCATTAGTGTCCTGTTTTCTTTGCAAGTTGCATTGATTGCGTACTTCAATATGCGTCTCGTAGTTTTGGGAGCTCTGGAACCACTGATATTGGTTCCACGTGCGTCTTTTCCTTGCCAAGTTCTGGATCGTGCGGCGGCCCAATCGCTGTCTCGGTTTCAATAGTCGGACCTATGCCCGGTGTAGGAATATATGCATGGCCTCGGTTAGAATCCCCTGCTTATGGTGAGGGCACACTCTCAGCTATGCTGTCTGATTTATCTCGTCCCATGTTGTCTAGCTCGGGGCTTTCCAGTTCAGTATATGATATCCCCGAAGGAGCTCAGGTCTCCGTTATACCGATCAGCAGTGACTAGTAATGGATGACTTGGAGATGAAGCTTGTTTAATGAAATTCGTTTGCTAGTATCTCACGATTCGATTACCATTGTGTCGCTTATTGGGGTCAGTATCTATAGACATGTCGGAAAATCAACTTGCCAGAGTATGTATGACTGGGCAGGTGTTTCGAATTGGGAGCTTCGTCTATGCGTATAGTTTGTCCCGATTTAGTTAAGCCAGTCATCTCTAGCTGGCATTGTCAAGTTTAGTTACTGGTAATGGGAACGTTGCGATTGACCGAGCTACTCGGTGCATTGGTCATACACAGGACAGAATGTGCTTCGTGAGTACGCTTCCACGCTGTAGTTCTTGGCGTCCGCTCTCAGGTCTACAGCGGTGAACATGCAGGTCTGACGAGAAATTATTTCTTAGAGTATGCCATTTCTCAAGGGCCCCTGAAGCCATGAATTCGGTGAGAAGTGTGACTCTAAGAAGTCCGGGCAAGGGTATGTGTATTCAGTGCGTTGACCTAGGTTATCGGCCGAGGCCGCTAAGCACCTTTCCCTCAATTTCTAGCTTAGACGCCACACAGGTTCATTGTGAAGGAATATGTTGTGCATCATACCCTCGATCCGGGGAATCCGTGCAAGATGATGCTCCTTGCCCAAAGATGTGTTCCGTCTGGGCCTTTGAGGTGCATTGCATTCTCTCGGATGAATTTCGGAAAGTCCGGTTGTATACGAAATTTCGAGGATACACTAACAGCCGGAGTTGTCCCTGTGTCATCCCCTAAGCCTAACAACACCCTACTGAGCATGAGCTGGTCTGCATATGAGCTGACTGGCTGTTCGCCACTCGTCTGAGGCAACAAAATTAATGGGATAATGTTCTGTTGTGAATGTCTCGCTCTGCCAGCGAGGATGAGTCTGATTCTGGTAGGTTGAGCTCTATGAGAGATCTGGGTCTTTGTTGTGCACACTTTCTCCACTGGGAAGGAAGTTGCACAGTTGCATTTTGTGCACCGGTTTGAGATGCTGATTTGGTGTTATTTTCTCTCGGTTTGGCGCTTAGGTTGCTGATCGAATGAGGGGTTTTATCCTCTCGCTAGTGACGGCCCATCTGCTGACAATCGTCTTACCGCCCTCTACCATTTTGTTTTGAGTGGTTGCCTGTCATATCTGTCCACGTCTTTGTCTGATTGTTCCCTGATTCTGTCAGCAACTGCCTACAGACCATCCGTTGCACGCAGAACTGACATATTGTCGTTCCCATCGCTCCACTCGCTCTTGATTCCCGTAAATTTATCCCGAAGAAACGCTTACCGAAATTCAACTATGCTTTATTTTGCAGGTTTTCTCACAAACAAAGGCTAACAAGAGAATTGTGTCTACCTTGTGGTATGAAACGTCCATATCTGGAATCATTTTTCCTCCGCTGAATGTTCTCTGTGACGGCTGGCGTGTATGGCTTTTTAAATGAAATTTAAGCTTCAATGCTTGCAAAAGTTATACACAATACAATACAATAGACGCAAAAGGAAGAGACAAAACTGAAAGTTTGGAAAATACCATCTACGAAACGTTAAATTGATACAAAGTCGTCGATTAACCTGAGATCTCGGGGTTTACACTCAGAAAGGATATACAGAGTTCCGAAATCGCACAAACCTGGAATACCAATGCAAATGATGCTATTAACGGTCAACTCGACTGTGTTTATGGTCACATCCGAAATTTCAAGCGCTAAGTCGATTGATTGCGCGGATACGAACAGTTTGCATGTGTTGCATAAATGCAACTAATAATTAATTAGATCATGCAGTAACGCTTTACTTCACTATGGTGCTTATTCTCTCCCGGATGCGTATGTGAATTGCATCAGTGAGTTATCCAGTGAATTTTGACGCAATTCACATGTTGCCGGTGCCGGAAAAAGAGGAACTATGATTGAAAACTCCACACAACAAAAATTGCAAAAGTATCTCAATTCCATAGACTCCAAACCAGAAGAAAGAGAAAAACTGACGAGCAGATTGAATCAAGGAGACGAGTGGAGGGTGGTGTGAGACGAAAAGTGAACAAACAAATACAAAGTTCATTTGGTCACGTTTGTTCACCCTTCAGTTCGGGATCGGTAAAACCGAGCAACTCGGCTTCGAGAACGGTCTCCGCCGGAACTCGTTGTCCGGTTGCGGCAGCACAATTCTTCAGTTTACAGCTTTCCTCCACGGTCACATTCTCACCGAGCACACAGCCTTGAAGTACAGAACTGTGGAAAGGTGACAGAAGACAGCGAGAAATTAAGAGAATGATTCACCGTATAGGTCGAAATATGTTGAAAAAAACAAAAACAAAATATCAGTGACCAACCTGTTGGAAGGTAATTTTGTTAACCTAAATGAAAGAAAACATGAGTCTGGAGAGAAAGTAACAACAATATAGGTTCTAAACGTCCGTTAGTAAACAACCAAGTGCCTGCATGATAAGTCAAATTTATGAAAGACGGTTGGTTTCATTTATTCATTCGCAGTTAAAGACCCGGACAAGCTTTAGATAGATGTGCGAGGTTTCAAAAACCTCTCGTAGGAACATGAGCAGAAATAACGATCTCAAAGTTCTTAACCTCTGACCATTCCTGCTTTTGGTGGGTTTACAGAGCAGAGAGTGCATTTCGAATCTTTAACATAAACATAAACATTACCGACAAATCAGCGTGTACTCAATCATTGTGATCTTGGTGGTTTTCTTTGAGTCCCCCCCCCNTTTCTCGGTACATCTCTAAAAAGTGCTATTGAATGATCCTCCAGCTCTATAACGTTCACCTAAAACAAGACTGCCCAATCATAAGTTTCGCGTGTTTAGTGTTACAACGTTCTGGAAACGTATCGTGTACGTACAGGAAAAAAGAGGATCATTAACGGGACTAGGATTTAAAAAGTCTATGCTTAATCATCGTATGAATCTATAGACAGTGTTTTAATAATACAGATCCATTCGAAACTCGTTAGACATCTCACTGACAACGAATTATTTAATCTCACAAAGGTAGAAATAAAGGCGGTGGAAACTTAGTGTCGCATGATCATACCTCAGTGAGCTAGTTATAGTTGGACAGCTAGGTTTTCGATTATCCGAGTATACCATTATCGTATACTGTAGGAGAACACAGTAGCCAACCCGTTTTCTATGACTCATTCATGGGCTAAAAAATCACAATTTTTAGAGAATGTTTCGTGGGAAAGAAACCAAGGAAAAGCATTTTGGTTTTATGAACCGGTGTTGCTCATGCTTTGGTCATCACACACATGTATCAGCTCGGATCATCAGGAGGGGGGACAGGGAGATGATTACATCGAGTGTGGTGATGGCCATGGGATACCGAGTATTCATACGAGGCGTCTGGAGAGGAGGGCAAATAAGGGGGTGGGTGGGTGTACAGGCAGATTCCGGTCGTTGCTGTGGGGGACTAAAGGTGACTTTTGAGCCTCTTAGATCGACGAATGAGAAGTGACCAGGGTGAGAGAAATGGCTCGGTCACGCTAACCAAGTAGTCCACTAGGTGTGATTCCTGACACGGTGCATTATCCAACAAAATCATTTTTTAGAAATATGTTTGGGGTTAATAGTTTCGGTAAGCGGATTTTATCATCTTCGGGTCTCCTCGAAATAGCTCCTGATGAATCGTATATTATTATATTTCACACACGTCTGATACCGGACTGTGACAAACAAATCGTGGTACAACAATCGTTCTGAAAAGAAAAACGCTCCATGATTTGCAAGTGGGTCGTATACTGCCAGGTTACCCAGGCCTAGGCAGGTGAATTTTCTTACGGAAATT